TCCATCAATTTTGCATCTAAAATTTTCGCCACCGGAAATTTAATTTGACCTATTTTAATTCACAAAAATTATAATTCACACAAATTATTGCACATTTGACAATACTGTTTAACTGACAGCTGTATTCATCGGAATAAATGATCGTTGAATAGTATTAATTTACAAAAATATAATCAATAATGTTTATTTTATGATTACAGTATATTGCAAGATTTCCGGTTAACAAATAATTATCGGTTAAAATTATAATTATCGTTAAAAATACTAATATGATTACGGATATGTTATATACACAATTATCGAAATGTCATTTTACATTTTAAATGGATTTTATATCTTCGATAAAGAGCCAAAAAAATCTGTTAATATTACAAAACATTTGGCCAAATCAGAAATAAAAAAAGAAATCAAAAATCAGAAACAAATCAAAATCCTGAATCACAAATGATCAAAAATTAAAAAAAAAACAACACACTTCACCATTTCAATTTCACGCCAAATTTTCATATGAAGGAAAATGAATTTAATCATTATTTAAAATTAGCCATAAGCAGTGGTAATGTTTAATCAAGAACGCTAGAACACCATTTTATTAATTTATTTTGCACATAAATGAAAAATTTTAAATTCGGTTGTTTTGATTTTTTATTGACGATGGTTATTTTGTTCTAAATTTTTGCCATTTTTTAATTTAATCGCGTTATTTTTTTTACGGCTTATTAAAATAGCAAAGTAGAGACTGTTTCCGGATAATACAAATACTGTTCCCAAATTGAAAGGAAAATATTACAGGGTAATTCAAATACATTGCAGAAGAAAATCTATAAAATATATCAATTCAAAGAAAAAATTTATAAAAAAAAATATATCAAATATAAATGGTTTGTCTTTTTCTTATAACAGCTATTATTAATAGCTTGGTAAAAAAAATAGCTTATCATTTTTATCAAAAAAAAATCATTACCAAATATGTTATCAAGAAAAAATTATACAAAAAATAAAATAACATAAGAACTTTTAAAGCTATTTTTCTTGATGGAAACGACGGCATTGGAAAAATGAACATTGTTTTCTATAAATTGTATGTTTTATAATTTTATCAATAATTTAGA